GTGCAAGGGCAAATGGAATCGAGTGCCACGCACCGATGCGCTGTCCATTGTTGGTGATCGGCTGGCAGACGAATGGGAGGTAACGCACGGAGGATAAGAATACGAGAGTGATGAGGGAAAAGGCATGCAGGTAACGTGGGAACGAGAAGACTTGCAGAAGATTGGGTCAACAAATGAACGAACGAACACACACAAACCAACAAACAACAAACAACAAACAAACAAACAAACAAACAAGACAACAAACACACACACACACACAAACACCAACACACAAACACACAAACACACACACACACACAAAAAAAAAACAAAAAAAAAAAACAAACAAACAAACAAACAAGCAAGCAAACAACACAGCATGCACGGCAGCGCACCTCGGCGTGTGCAGTGCGAGAACGCTGTCTGCCCTTGATGACCCGCCCGACCACGGTATTGCCGTGCGCGGAAGACTGAGCAGGTAGTCCTCAGACAGCCGCTCGCCGGCAAACGGGGCGTGCAGTGTGCCCGGGGGCGGCTCGTTGGCCGAGGCGTCCAACACCTGCAGCGTGTATGTGCACGTGTGTGGGTAGGGGTGTGATATATATGTGTGTGTGTGTGTGTGAGTACGTGTGTGTGTGTGTTCAGAACACATGTGCGTTCGTTCAGAATGCGTGCATGTGAGTGTGAGATGAGGCGTGTATGAAGCAAAGTAGCGCCATATGCGCGCATGCGCGTGGAACGAGTACGCACCAGCGAGCTGGAGGAGCGAGAGGAGTCATTGGGGTCTGAGACACAACAGCACCACAGATGGTGAGCCCATGAAGAATGAAACAACAACATGCAGGCGCCAACCGCAAAAACAAGTGCACGCACTTTATGTGCACACACGCACACACACACGCACACACACACACACACACACAAGCGCACGTCCTGCGCACCCGGATCGGATGGTGCTGGCGAGAGGGTGCGCGGAGCGCGACGGCGCGGTGTCGACGTCGCAATCGACTGTGAAGAGACAACAAAGGATCAAGCTGTGAATATGCTCGCAAATGCGCTTTGCGCTGTGTGTTGTGTGCGTGAATGTGCATGTGCATGGGGCCAGGTCGTTTAAGGATCATCAGCACGTGCTTGATCAATGGACTGCCAATGGGCTGCGAGCGACAAAGAGTGGTTGATGCACTGGTCTCGTCTTACCCTCGCTGGCGTCGCTGGATCCGGAAAGCGAGAAACAGCAGGCAAGAACCTTTGGGAAGGAGTGGAGGTGGTGGTTATGATGATGAGAACAAAACCACATATCAGGCGGCTTGAGCAACGACGCGACAGGAAACGCTGGCATGGACACACACACGCACACAGACACACACACACACACACGCACAGACACACACAGACAGACGCGCACACACACAAACACGCGGCGCTGATGCGAACTTTGGGTCGACATTGAGCTCCTTTAAGAGGAGATCGTCTGGGAGCACTTGCAGCACGTCCGTTCTTCGTCGCACACACGCGTCCAGCGACTGGACGAGAAGGAACCAAATGAGATGGTGTGGCGGTTGGGAGGAGCGAGACAAGTGAATGATTGACACACGCCCATGTGTGAAAACACAAGCAAGCATGATGTCATGTACGGTAATGACAGCACGCAAGCACATGTACGCGTGCACACACACACGCACACACACACGAAACAAACCAGACCTGTGTCGCTGCCTGGAGGAGTGGACGAAGAGTGTCATCAATGTGTTCTGCAAGGACGGGCTCGAGCACGACGTGGTAGACGCTCGCGTGTACGGGACTGCGCTGCAGGAAACCATACGCACAATGGTCGCACCTGAACCGCACGTGAAGGTGTGCATGAGCATGTGTGTGCGTGTGTGTGTGTGTGTGTGTTTGTGTGTGCACGAGTGTGAGTGCGTGTGTGAACAGCGGGATGACGATTGATGCAATATGGACGTGAACAACAGGACGCGAGGTGAGGGCTGCGGTCCCATGTGTGTGCGCACAGATGTGTTGCAACGCGTGAAAAACGTACTCGAAGCCCTTGAGTTGAGGATACACAATGAGAACTGTCTTCTCCAGATTGCGAAGCATGCCATGGAACTGACGAAAGCAAAACACAACCAAAGGTCGCGGACACGCAAGAATTGCGCACGTGAGGTGCATTGACTTCCATATGGAGCGATCAATATCGTCATGCATCGGAACAAAACGCCACACACACTCACTCACACATGCACACGCACGCACACACATGTTCCGCGCCTCCCCCCCCCCCCCCCCGACATACCTCCTCCACAGCGTGGGCGGCTGATCGCGAGCCGACAACCACGCCACCATAAGCGGAATGAAACGCGTCGGTCAAATCCTCCACCAGGCGTCCCCACGGGTGGGCGTGGTCATGAAGTTTTCGCCACAAGTAGGCCCTGCGCCAACCAATGGGTCATTGACACGTGTGTGTGTGTGTGTGTGTGTGTGTGTGTGTGTGTGTGTGTGTGTGTGTGTGTGTGTGTGTGTGTGTGTGCGAGTATGATGATTGTTGTAAAGCACGCAACATCTAGAAAGGGACATGAACTGCAATAAACATTGACAATCAAGACGTGGACGTGCGCGCACACACATACACACACGCACACATACACATACACACACATACACACTCGCACACACGCACGAGCGGACGTACGTCAGGTCGTGTAGATCGGATGGTGGGAGCTGTGGACGCGTTGGGCCGCCACCGCCGCTGTTGCATTGGAACGACGAGCGCCTGCTCTCTAATCGCCGCAGCTGAACACGCAAACGCGCAGTCCCACAACAGGTGTGAGGCAGACGCGAACACACGCACACGCACACAACAGACATGTACACACACAAAACAACCACGCACGCACGCACGCACACGCACAAACGACATCATCCGCCACAACGGTACAACACTCCCTCGTGCCCCCACCGACTCCTACTGCAAAACACAAGACGTACATCCCGAATGCATCGCTCAAAGAGAGGCCTCCACTTGTCCTGCGGTCTGACTTGCTCCCACGTGCGCAGCGCCGTCTCCGTGAGCGCGCCCGTGTTCGTCTGCAGCCGCGACTTCTTCCACAGCACACGCGAGCGGTGCTGGTGGACGTGTTGCGTCATGGCACGCACAAGTTCGTCGATGCCAGTCCTCCCTTTCGTCAGGGACGCTCTAGGTGCTGTACACGAGGGCGCGTGGTGCTGCTGCGATGGAGCGCTGGCGTGGACGACAGCTGATGATGCGGGAATACTGCTCGGCTCCCATGGGCCATTGAACACGCCCTCTGCCAACACCGCAGGTGAAACATGGCATTCACATGCACACGTGTGTGTGTTGGTCATGTGAGGAGAATGGGGGAGCTTGCAGGTGGCAGGTGGGCGCAACGCGATTCACAGTGGCGTTCATTTGTGCCGAGCGAACGTCAAATTACACATGCACGAGAAACGCGTGTTTTCATGCTTCAATACAAAGCAACAGCACTACACACACACACACACACACACACACACACACACACACACACATACACACACACACATACACACACATGCACGTGCAGCAGCATACAACGTACCAATGATGCAGTGTTGTGTGTGCAGAACGCCTTTTCCTTGCAAGAACCCTCGCTGCACAACACCGCCGACGAACCACACCTGTTGGAACGGGAGAGGCGCGACAACAGGTGTGAGCCCATGGCAGGCAGGTGAGGTGAGGCAGGTCACACAAGCAAACAAAACCCCCGAAGCAAACACAAAAAAGTGCAAGTAAACTTGCAAGCTCGCACGAAGAGGAAAGGCATGGCACCACTCACTCTCTTACACACACGTGTATACATGCACACACAAATCCCTCCCCCCCCCCCACAAACACACACACATGTACGTTATCACGTGCGGATGCGATGAGGGCCTGGCCAACGAGCTTGCCGGCTGCAAACTCGCCCTCGTGCAATGTGTCGTCCTCAATGAGGAGACCTGGCCCATGAAACGCATCGTCACGCCACATGCCGCAGTACACCAGCGACGCAGACACGAGCGTGCCATACCCAGACCGCAGCCCGTTGCGCCATTCGCCGCGGTACACGCTGCCGTTTGCGTACGTGCACACGCCGTAGCCGTGGTGGGCGTGCGCCTGCCACTCGCCAAGGTACTTGTCCTTGTTGTGGTACAGCACACACGCGTGGCCGTCCAGTGACCCACGGTGCCACATGCCGGACGCAACAGCCATGGAACCAACACCATACGGTGCCTCCATCGTGGCCATCCCCTCGCAAAAGCCGTCCACAAACATGCCGGAGTAGCGCGTGCGGTCGCTGCACGTCATGGTGCCCTCCCCCGACGGCTTTGCGTTGCGCCACTCGCCATCGTACACGGCGCCGCGGTAGTGCGGGTGGTTGCGGAAGTGGTAGCGGCAGATGCGGCGCACAAGGCGGTGGTGGTGGGCCAGCGACACGGCTTGACGTTCGTGCGCCACAACGGCTTTGAGGGCGTCGTGTCCCACGCGGTACATGCGCACACGCTTCGCCGTTTTGTTCTTCTTTGCTGTCTTCCCTTCCTGATGTGCGCGCACTGCAGCATCAGAGCTTCCAGATGACCGCTGCTGCTGCTGCTGCTGCTGCTGCTGCTGCTGATGTGTCTGCGGCTGTGCGAATGAGGCGCTGCTGCTGCTGAGACGCCGCGTTGGGTTGACGTGAACAACAACACCGCGATCACCACGCCTGTTGCCAACAACGTTCACGACGTCCGCATCTCTGCCATCGCCATTGGCGCTTGTTGCGGATGATGATGATGACGATGATGACGTGAGCGAGTGCCATGCATCATCTTCCTCATTGAAGCTCTCGCTGCTTTCTTCTTCCTTGTCCTCATCATCATCATCATCATCATCACCACCACCACCACCATCCACTTCACCGCGTGATCCACCGTTCACTGTGTCAGTGCTCTCACCACAACCAACACCGTCATCATCTTGATCATCATCATCATCGTCATCGTCATCGTCATCGACATCATCAACGCCCACAGCCCGCAGCACACGGTCGGCAGTCACTGTCTCTTCACCGGTGCTTCGTGTTCGCGTCCGTTGTCGCGTTCCTCCGCCATCACGCGCCCGCTGCAACTGGCGCAGCTGCTGTTGCGTTTGTAGCCGTGTTGGGCTGACGTGTTGAGGCGTGTTGAGGGTCTGGTGTCTGTGCGCGTGCGCGTGTGTTGTCGCTGCATCACTGTCGCTCAGCAGCTCCCTCACAATCTCCTCCTCCTCCTCCTCCTCCTTATCATCATCATCATCATCATCATCATCATCATCATCATCATTATCGCCACCATTACCACCGCCGTTGTCACGATGACTGCCACCACTGGCCATGTCAACCGACGATGCCGCCTTGCCAGAGTCAGCACGACGCTTCGCCCGGCCCTCACCAACGCGACTGCCTGCACTGCGCGCGCCGTGGGTTGTGCTCGTGCGTTTGCTCTTTGCCCGTGCTGCCTTGGACGTGGTGGTGGTGGTGGTGGAAGCGATGGTGGCAGTGCGAGCTGTCTCCTTGTGGTTGTTGTTGCGTGTCCCATTCGCACCCTTGTTGTTGCTGTTGTTGTTGTTGTTGTTGTTGTTGTTGTTCGTGCTGTTGCTCTTGCTGTTGCTGTTGCTTCTGCGGACGGGAACAAAGAGCTGGCACTGTGCAAGCTTGATTGCCTCAATCCAGAATGCGAGGTTGTTTCTGTTTGGCGCCGCCAAGACAAGCCGTTCTTCCGGACACACGAGCGTAAAAGCAAAGTCCTCCCTGTCCTTAGCGGTGTGCGGTGGCTCCTCCATCCAGATGGTTGCCAGGTCATACGTGCGGCTGCTGAACATGTACGCAACAAACAGCGTGTCGTTGAAGAGCACGACCATGTTGGAGTTGATGCTTGCACGCACGTGGATGGGCACCTTGGCGCTGTGTGCCACCACGCGCCGTCCTGGCTTGCACAGCGACCGGCGCAGCCTGTTTGTATGTGTTTGTGTGTGTGTGTGTGTGGGGGGGGGGAGTAATGTGAGTGAGTGAGTGAGTGAGTGAGTGAGTGTGTGTGTGTGTGTGTGTGTGTGTGTGTGAGCGCTCGTGAGTGAGTGTGCGTATGCGAAACGTGTGCACATGTGGTTGTTGCGGTTGACAACAACACTGGCAGCGCGATGGCATTAGCAGCACTTACGCTGGATTGATTTTCCAGAACCGGGATGTGTCTGTTGCTTCATCAAACGCAACGCGCGTGTGCTGGAGACGATTGCACATCACCAACGCACAGCCCAAATTCAAATTGGGGTGTTGTGTTATCGAAGCGTTGAGAATCAAATATCAGATCCAACGCATTCTCAGGAAAACGAACACGCACACGCACACCCCCCCCCACACACACACACGCACACACACACACACACACACACACACACACACACATCCACACACTTTAACAACAGGACATTGTGTGCAGTTGGCACCTTGGCGAGCGACTCCCAGGCGAGCGAGGCCTCGTGCATCGTCCGCCGCTGTTCGGCCGTGGGCGTGAGAGAGCAGCGGGCAAGGAGACGAAACATGGCGCTGTAGTCATTGAGACGCTTGAACGGCTGCAGTGAAGGCAGATGGTGTTGTTTGGAGGCAAGGATGGTGGAAGGAGCATGGACAGGGGATGGGGTGAACGAAGAGACAAGGGCAACGTGCAATGGCGTGGGAAGAGTGATGTAATGCAGGAAGACAGGCGACATGTGTCATCTTGAGAAGAGGCAGTTCATCCACACGCAGCGGCAAGTCTCATACACAACAGCAATGCTAGCATCGCAATGCATCATCATCATCACCATCACCACCACCACCATCACGTAAGCCATCACCACGTAAGCCATCACACCTGCATGAGAGCCCACTGGAGCAGGTTGTCTGCACTGACGGGGACGCCCGTCGTGGCCTCGATGCCTTGCGCGAGTGCGGACTGCACCTCTGTATCCATCGCCAGTCCCATTGCCGCTGCATCTGCTGCTGCGCTCCCGTACGCCGCATACGCAGTCGTCAGGCCAAGCGACTCAAACAGTTGCTGCAGCAGGCGACAAAGCGCATGTTGCGGTGTAGCAGCAGGGGGGTGTGAGACTACGGCGGCGAGATGGTGGAGAATGAACGTATGGCTTGTGATGTTGCGAACACATACCCACATGGAAAGTGGAACATGCACACCGCGCAGCAACGGCAAGCAAGAAGGGAAAACAGAACCGGCGGACACAGCCACACAAGACACGAAAAGCATAACCTACGCAACAAACACCATCCCAATTCGCACAATCGTGTCATCACGCAGCAGAGCATCTTGCACGCACTGGGATGAGGGCGGCGCCCTTGCGATGGTGGATGAGGATGAGCAGGCGGTCCACAAGCGCACACGTTGTCTGCCACAGTGCACTGTACGCATCCACGGCAGCTGCGAGGATGCGGTAGGACGACGGCGACAGCAGCGCCTTAACTTTCTTGCTCTTCTTCAAGGGCAGGAAGCCCCCGCGCAGCAAGGTTCGTGAGTGGTTCACAGCATCCATTTCGCGTGCCGTGAGCGCCTGCACAATAGCGATTTCATCGCAGGGGCGACACGTGGAAGTGCACACGACAGCACACGTCTCGTGCACACCGCTCAGCTCACGCACGCACGCGCCATCCACGTGTTTGTGTACGGCGCCGCGCGGTTTGGGCAGCGGTTTGGCCAGGATTGCGTCAAGGCGCTGGCCGTGGGGATGATTGACGTATGAGCGGTAGTGCGCAAAGCGGCGTTTCATTTTGGCCATGTGCTCCTCGTGTTCCGGGGCAACAAGATGCACAACCGCTGTGCACGACGACGACGACGATGATGACGGGTGTGATGTTGAGGACATGGACGAGGATTGCACTGATGACGATGATGATGGTGTGGATGCTGTGTGTGCCACTGAGAGTCCAGATCTCCCACCAACACCACGCGCGCGCACAGCACTGGGCGTGGTGTCGAGTGCTTGCGGGCGTACACATGTACAGAGCGACGCGGCCGCGCTGAAGTGGTCACCGGCAGCAAGAGAGCACGCGCGCACGCACGAGAGCGCAGGCACGAGCGTGAACAGCAGCCGGTCAAACGGTACGCGGGAGGATAGCGCTGTATGTTTGGGTGTACGTGTGTGTGTGTGTGCGTACGTGTGTGTACGTGTTTCGGGGGTGTGTGATTGTGAGTATGTGTGAGTACATGTGTGTGATTGTGGTTGACGGCGGGAACATCGGCTGTGAGTGTTGATATTGTAGGTGGGTCAAACCAATGAGCATGTCCAATCTCCTCCGTAACCAATCACGACCAAACGCCATCACGACCACCGAACCGCTGCTTTCAGGTGCCCCGACAACTCACATGCTGTTGCGTGCCAAGAAGTACCAGCGAGGTACACGTGTCCGAGACTCGTTGCAGCCAGCGTGTGTGAATTGCCCGCAGCAACGCTGTCGTTGTCAGCAGCGCACATGTGTGTGCATGTGTGCATGTGTGCATGAACCACGTTGAAATTGATGAGCAACAATTGGCTTCCACGACAAACCGTGCGTGCGTGTACACCAAGGCATGCATACTTTCCCTGCACCCCAAGCACCAAGCGTGTTTGCCTGCAGGCAATCCCATTGTCGCACGTACAGGACGGGTCTGCGTCCGACGAGCGATTGTACAGCCGTGGGGGCGCGGCGAACAGCGCGATCACCATGACCAAGCTGCCCGCTCTCGTTCTGGTGTGGCAAACGAGCATCGTGAGGTGGTGGTGGTGATGGTGGTGGTGGTGGTGGGAAGGTGTGAGTGCAAACGTGTACAATTTATACGTGAGTAGAACGTGTGCGTGTGCGTTTTGGTACATGTGCGAAAGAAGCTGAAAAACACAACATCGCCCACTAGGATGCACGCACCTTTCCCCACGTGAACATGATTCGGCCACGGGATGGTCCACCCCGCGGTTTCGCTGATGGAAGGACACACACACACACACACACACACACACACACACACACACACACACACACACACACACACACACACACACACACACACGCAAAATCAAATTATGTTAGCGTCTGAGTCAGCAGCGAGGGAGCCAAGCGCTGGAAACTAAAATGGTTGCCTATCTTCATGGGTGAATTGTGATGACACGGCCCACCCCCTCTTCCTTATCTCTTGTTTAACACACACACATACATACACAGACGCACGCACGCACACACAAGCAGCGGCAAAGGTAGGACGCACCAAGGACAGCAACGTGCTCCTGTCCGGAGGAAATGCCCTCCACACAATATGCGGACAGTGCATCCACGCTGTGCACACGCCATGAACACAGCAGCGTCGGGTGAGCGTACAGATCAGGTCATCACCCGAGCACGTACACACTCACACACACACACACACAAATGTTCAAGCGCGGGCAAGTGTAAGCGCACTGAGCATGGTTATGTGAGAGAGACAGCAGTGTGTGGGCGCGCACCGTGTTGGGATGTGTCCCTCGTCAGCAGCGAACATGGGGCCAGTTCCCCACAGGATCACGTGTCCGTCGCGCGTCAATGCCATGCCATGACGCAACCTAACGCAAAACAGGCGCCGTTGCATTGGATGTTTTTGTGCGTATGTGTGTGTGTTTGAATCGCGTCAGTGCGGTGTGCAAAGTGTGATAACCGCAATCAATCAAAATCAGCAAATTCGTGTGTGCACGTGTGATGTTGGACTCAGGCATCGTACCCGCATTCGACGCGCGTGCATGTGTTCTGCACATTTGGCAGCGGCTCCGGTAACGCAATCATGGGGAGCACTGCTGCCGGTAGTGGTGGTGGTGGTGGTGGTGGTGGTTGAGTGAGTGGGTAGGCGTGCATGGCGCACAGGGGTGTGGGAAGGGCTGAGGACAAGTGACAGGTGAAAGTACGTGAATGAGGTATAAATGAACAGCGAACGTTGCGTGCACGCGGCATTCCTGATTCGCTCATGACGAAGATAAGCACTTGCAATTGGGACACACAATGATCTGAAGACGACGACGACGACGACAGTGATGGTGTGGTGTCGGCAGGACCGTGGCCACACTGCGCGTGATCGTGATGACGTGGTCATGGTGGTTGTGATGATGATGGTGATGGTCGTGGTGAGGATGGTCGTGGTGATGATGGGACTAGATCAAGGCGGTGAAAATAGCTCAGGGTGACATCAGTCGGACGAATGGAGAAAGAGCGAGAGAAAACCGCGAACACCGCCAACATGTGGTCGCATGAATGCATCGTGTTCGGGCAGGCAGGGCTGACAGGCGCATCATAGGACGACAATCAAAATTGCCACCTGAAGCTGATCGTTGCGTCCCCACGTGTAGATGCTTCCGTCTGCGGCCACAGCCTGTGCAGGCAGCAGTGGAGTACGCGCGCGCGCGCGTGTGTGTGTGTTGGTGTTATTGTTGGTGGTGGTGTTGTTGGTGTTGTTGGTGTTGTTGATGTTGAGGAGCAGGTGGGACTTCCTTCTGCAGCACACCTCACAAGGCCATGAAACAAACCATTGCATTGACACACACACACACACACACACACACACACACACACAGGGCGCACGGATCCAACCACGAACAAAATCTCCATCGCGTGTGACCGTGAGCAACAGCATGGCCACATCCGCTTACGCACCGCGCTGAACTCGGTGCCACAGGCAATGTGCTGCACTGCCACATGTGCGAGCGCAGCAACAAAGTGCGGCGTGGCGATGGATGACTCATCACGTCCCAGCCCAAGCTGTCCGTGACTGTTGAGGCCTGAGGAGGTGTGCGTGTGCGTTGGGGGTTGGGGGTGTTGGGGGAGGGGGTTAAACCATGCAATGCCAGAGATAAGACACGATGCAAGAGTAAGGCATTGCCCATGCACACACACACACACACACACACACACACACACACACACACGCACAACACGCGCGCGCACACGTACACACGCACACACACACACACACACACACACACACGACGCGCGCGCACACACACATAACACGTACACACACATAACACGCATGCGCCCACCCTTTGCAGCAACACGGCCATCTGCTGTGAGGACGAGCATGTGGTTGCGCCCACACGCGACCTGGCGCACCGGCACACCGAGCGGCAGCGGGGACCTGCAGTGGTGGTGAGGGGATGGTTGTGATGAGTAGAGAGGAGGGGTGGCAGTGGCTTGTGCACATAGGTGCTGGGTGTGTGTCAGGCAGCTCCACTTGAGATGGGAGTTAACACACAAACACACACGCACACACGCATATACACACACGCACACACGCATATACACACACGCACACACACACTCTCTCTCTCACAGGCGCACACACGCGCGCGCACGTGCAGACAGAGAACATCCAATCATACACAAGCCACCGCACCCCAACCCGCACCCACTGGTCTCCACATCTTCGTACGGGGGTTGTGCGTCTGCAAAGGGGTTCTTCCAATATGAGGCCGTCATCACAGTGCCGTCACTGCTGCTGCTGCTGTGGTTGTTGCTGTTGTCCTGCCCGTACACCAACCCACCACCGCTGCCACTATCACCACCACGACAATCATCGGGGCTGCCGGTGTTCTCGCGTGCGCGTGTGCGCGTGTGTTTGCGAGCGAGGGCGGGAACGACTTGATGCGAATCGTCAAACAAATCCCCGTGCGCCCCGGCAGTATCTGACACCAGAAGCGTGTGCATGTGGGTATGTGTGAGGGGGATTGCAACCGGAACAGGTCGCAGCAAGAGCAGCAGCAAGTACAGCAATGGCAGCAGTGTGATGACATGGCAAATCACAAACCAGGCAGCTGCTGCACTTCGATGGTCAGATACTGATCTTGTGACCTGAACACATGCATGCGCGTGGAATGAAGCGTGATGAAAACGTGGACATGAGTTGAGGGAACAAAGTAGCATCCACACCAACACACAGTACATACAGGGAACTCACAGTGCGTGCGTGCATAAAAAACATGCAAATTGCCTGCAAGCACACGTACGCTGCGTGTGCTCTGAACGTGTCGTAAATGAGTTTGGTGACGGTGGCCGGATCTCTTCCGTCCGGCAGGAGAGCAATCGGCGCTGCAGGAGGCAGATCGTGTGTGTGTGTGTGTGTGTGTGTGTGTGTGTGTGTGTGTGTGTGTGTGTGTGTGTGTGTGTGTGTGTGTTGTGTGTGTGTGTGTGTGTGTGTGTGTGTGTGTGTGAAGGAAGGGAAGGGGCGCAACAGACAATGAGAGCGACAGCCTGGTGTGGGGCGAAGACGATGTCAACAAGACGCGCGCGCCCTACTTCCAACAACCATCCAAATTCCCCCCCCCACACACACACACGCAGCCGTTTCAGGCTGAGCGTACAGTAGATGTCCAATAAACGGTCGACGTTCTCGTGGATGGCGACACATGTGACCATGCGCGTGTTCCTGGAGGATGACTTGCCGGGCGCGCGGGATTTGCTACCTGTTACATGACATCAAAAACACAGACAATGGAATATGGTGAGCAGCCCGTGCTCTTGCGTGCATGTGCAGCTGAAATTGTGCAGGTGCGTGTAGAGGCGGATGCGAGTCGGTTCAGTTACAGCTGAAGTTACAGCTGCAGTAACGGCTACATGTGAGCAGCTGGCTGCGTGTGAGAGCGTAGTGTTGTGTCTCCTGTGCGCACACACCAAATGGGTAGAGGACGACGAGGTCACCCGCGTTGATGCCTTGGAAGGAAGGCAGATTCGGCAGAACAATCACGCTCGTGCGGCCTTCCAGCACGCCTTTGTACCATGGGTCCTTGAGCGCGATCTGTGTTGGCAACGCACTCAACCCAAGTGCAGGGCGTGTGCACATCAAATAAGAAACGCACGAGAGTGTACATGCACCACGCTCACAAGCACGGAGCACACAGAACAGCACATGTACAGAGAACAAAACAGAAAAAACACCCACCCACACACACACACACACACACGCGCGCGCGCGCACACGCACACAGCAGCGGAAGCATGTGCAGCTGTCACCACACGTTGTGCACGATTGCCTTTGGGTGCTTGCGCTGCTCCAACAGGATGGACCAGTCCCAGCCATTGGAGGGCGCCGCCAACATTTTCATGGCGCTATAGCTCCTGCACAATGTTCAAGCAACGCAGTTGGCGCACAGGTTGGAACACAACAGGTATTTGCCACCCCGCACACACACATTTGTGCACAGAGACGCATGCACGTATTCGTGCACAGAGACGCATGTATATATTCGTGCATAGACACACACACACACACATTTGTGCACAGAGACACATGCACTCCTTGCCCTCCCCTTCCCTGAACCCGATTCCTCTTCACAGACTGGAGCGGCACCGAGCACAAGGTCCAGCACACACACACACACACACACATACACACACAAACACATTCACACACACACATACACACACAAACACGCACCTCGCCCGTGATTCCAGAGCGCGCGGCCCGCGCTCCGTCTGGCTTCGAGCGCGCGACATGGTGGCCGTTCGGGCCCGCTGCGATGCCTGCGCGTCGTTGCTGCGAGACAGTTGCGAAGTGGGAAACCAGGGAGAGGGCGAGGCTTCAACACTGCTGGGCTCTCACACGAATGAAGGGTGTGATGTGATCGAGAGAGAGCCAAAGTAACAGCCAGCCAACGCGAGCGAGCGAGAGTGGCGGTGCGCGATGTGATTTTCTGGAGCGACACCATAAATTGCAGTAACGGCATCTCCTTCAACAACGCAACTTCTGCATCTTGCACGGCGGATATGCTTCGACTTGCGATGACAGCGGCATGCGCGCACGGCGCACGCGTCGCATCCAGGTGTGGCGCATGCAGAGGGAAAGCAGGGGGGAAAGGGGGGAAAGGAGGACAGTGGAGATGGCATGGCATTGGAGAGCCTTCTTGATGCAGGGTCCTAGGGGTTGTTTTGCTCTCATCGGACACGCCACGGTGCCTGCTTCCGCTGTGATTCTTCGTGACGTTGTTGTTGACGACGACATTGATGATGTGGATGGTGCTGATGATCTTCTTGATGGTGATGGTGTTCTTGTGTGTGTGTGTGTGATGGTGCAGAGCGAGGGCGCCCATGATGCAGCATTTGCTGCGCATCCAGCAGCAGCAACAGCTGCAGCGGGCGCTGGCTCCAGCCATGCAGCAGCTGGCTTCCCCGTTGCTGGCTGCTTCACAGCGACGCCACATGTTCATCCAAACCCGCGACACACCAAACCCAAACAGCCTCATGTTCTACCCCGGCACAGAGGTGTGTGTGTGTGTGTGTGTGTACGTGCGTGTGTGTGTGTGTGTGTGTACGTGCATGTGTGCGTGTGTGTACATGTGGATGTACGTTTCATTTTGCGTGACGTACTTTGCATTTGTGCATGCACGCGTTCTGTTTGCTTGTGTGCCACCACATATGCCCTTGTTGTGCGACAAGCAAGTAGTTGCGCGCGCGCCTCGACGCTGACGTCAACAATGACATTGGCACAACACGGCTGCTACAGGTGACGGGCACGGGCACAGCAGACTTTGCTCGCGGCGGTGACACGTCCAAGTCGCCCCTCGCTCGGTTGGTTTCCGCACGCTCGCATGCATGGATCTTACTCGCATTTCCCCTCTCGATACAACATATGCGTACCGCCACTGCGCCCTGCACATCATCTCATTGATGCTACCACCAACACCAACACTCTGTGTGTGTTATCGTGCAGGGTGCTGTTGCGGATTGATGGTGTGCAGGGCGTGTTCCTCGGGCCAGACTTTATCACCATCTCCAAGGAGGAGGACGTGGACTGGGGCGTGATGAAGCCGCACATCTTTGGCAGCATCATGGATTTCTTCGCCAGCAACCAGCCCGTCCTGCTCGAGGGCGAGGAGGCAAACGCAGCATGTGCGTATGACGTATGACGCGTGTGTATTGGGATGTGTATGTAGTATGTGTGCACTGGGATGTGATTGTGGTATGTGTGCACTGGCATGTGCGCATATGATGTGTATGAGAGTGTGTAGATGTGTGTGTGTGTCCATTTCATCCACCCACCAACGCGACCCGTCTTCTTACGCGCACACACACACACACATGCCAACACAGCGACTGCAAGTGAGGAGGATGACGAGGTTGTGTCGATGATCAAGGAGCTGCTTGACACGCGGATTCGCCCAGCAGTGCAGGACGACGGTGGTGACATCATCTTCATGGTCCGTTTGCCGTCACCGCTCGCTTTTGTGTGTGTATGTGTGCGTGTCTGTCTGTCTGTCTGTCTGTTTGTGTCTGTGTGTGTCTGTGTGTGTGTGTGTGCTTTACAACACTGCGACTCATCCTCATCCTCATCATCATCGTTATCACCTCGTTGCTGTAATTTCGTGCAGGAGTTCACCAACGGCATTGTCAAGCTCAAACTCTCGGTATGACTCGCACTCACACGACGATCCACACCATCACCGCCATCAACAACAACAGCAGCAACAACAACAACAACAACAACAACAACAACAACAGTGTGCGCAATTGCTCTTGCACTGCTACCCTCCGCAGCGTTCATGCTCACCGTTGCTTCTTGCGTGCCAGGGTGCGTGTGAGGGCTGCCCAAGCTCCATGTACACGCTCAAGCAGGGCGTCGAGAACATGCTCATGCACTACATCCCCGAGGTCGAAGGCGTTGAACAGGTGCGCATGCGTGTGTGTGTGTGTATGTCTGTGTCTGTGTCTGTGTCTGTGTCTGTGTCTGTGTGTGTGTGTGTGTGTGTGTGTGCAGTCTGTGTGTTTGCGCAGAGTTCTCTCCTCTCCCTCGCTCTGTGTCGTTTTACATGTCCTCGTATTATCAGCAACAACCCCGTGTTGATACCAACTCCCCCGTGCTCCTCCAACACAACACGCACGTGTACCCAGGTTGAGGACACGGAGCTTGATGCTGTGAGCAACGACGCCTTTCAGCGCCTGGAGGAAACACTCAAGGACAAGGACAACTGAGATGGAACACACGCCTCGACGCATGCCAGCCAGCTCCGTCGTGCACGCCACATCCACAACAACAACAACAACAACAACAACAACAACAACAACAACAACAACAACAACAACAACAGCCACAACAAGCAATCATCACAACAACAACAACAAGCAACTATCACAACAACAACAACCACCACCACCACCACCAACCGTGCTCTCAGTTTCTCTGCTTAACTCTCCACCGTGCTTGTGTGCTGTTGGTGTAATTAAACAAGACAAGACAATAACAACAAGACAACAATCAACATGTAGCGGAGCATTCACGTCACACGCACACCTGCACTGTTTCTGACACCTTTCACCCTCAGCCTGCAGCGGCTTTCTCGTATCTCTAAAGCATTCACACACAGGCACACGTTGTTCACATCCACATCCACGCCCTTCCCCCTTCCCCCACCAACAAAATCTACAGGCTACCTTGGCAGCCACTCGTCTGCACTCGTCTCAACACCACCAGGCGGCACCACATCATCATCGCCATCGCCATCGCCATCGTCCATCCACAGCGTTGCCGGTCGCTCCACGGACACACGCGACGGCGCGTTCTTGTCGTCATCAGCAACGCCAACAGGCACAGGTGTGCTTGTCATCACGGGACCTTCTGTGAGCGATGCACCGCGCATGGGTGAGGGCTGCTGGGATGTGTACATGGACAATTGCCGCTGCAACTCCCTGTTCTTCTCCTCGAGGTTCTGGATCTTGCGGTGGTTGATCATCTTCTCCGATGACATGAGCCCGTCCATCAGATCGGCAACAATGGGATCCTGCTGCCCAAACCCAAACAGGCCCGAGATGTCCTCCTCGTCATCGCCATCGCCATCATTGTCATCATAATCATCATCATCATCGCCACTGTCGCCGCCGTAGCTGCTGTTGCGGTTCTTGTTCGCGGACAAGCCCAGCGGATCACGGCGCTCAAACGCAGCGACCATGTCCATGTCCACTTGCGCATCCAAATCATCATCGCTCATCTCCTCCACTGGCATGTTATTCGCACTGCTGTAGTCATTGCGCTCCACAGTGCCGCCAAAGAGACCGAAACCATCATCGGCGTCCTCCTCATCCTCATCCCCAGCGAAGTCAAACATGTCCTTGCCCATGATGTCGTCATCGTCGTCACTTGACGTATCCGATGCGTTGGGTGCGCGCACCACATCATACAAGTCCTCCTCCTCTTCACCATCGCTGCCGTTGGTGCCGTCCTTGCTGTCGTACAGCTGTTGTTGGCGAACGAAACGGAAGAAACACGTTGGTGGTGAGTTGGAGTTGTGAGACAGTTTCAAACCAACCTGTGGGGTGTACATAGGTACATGCCATTGTTTGACCCATGGACACTACAGCAAAGCAGCAATTCACCACACGCCAACACACATACAAGCGCTACGCACCAAATCACCAACGCAAACACGCAGATTCACCAACACACATGCGCGCAAATGCACACCAACACGTACACAAACGCAGATACACCAACACTTGAAAGCGCAGGTGCACACACACACACCAGCACACATGCACGTGTGCGCAGTTACACGCCCAACCAAACACGCACCGGGTTGTTGAGGGTGTTCATCTCGAGGTACTCCGCCTCCTCCTCATGATGCAGGCCTCTGATCTTGATAATGTCACTGCGCTTGAGCGTGCTGGTGCGGTGTCGCCGCGTGGACGGACTGCGACGCGCCAGCACAATTGGTTCGTCCTTCCTCAAGCGCACCAGAACCGCGCCCACAATCAGGACGACGAGGATGAGCGCAGCGGCACACACCCCTGCAATGAGCGGTACCTGCGCCTGCAGTGACGTTTCAGTTCTGGACCCAACGGTTGTCGGGGTGTTGGATGTCGTCAAGACTGTTGTGCTCGTGGTCTCAAGTACAGACTGCGCCGTCACGCTGGTGAACACCGCCACGGATACGTCCTCGAACACATCTTCGGGGTCGCCCGCGCGCAGGATCGCCAACACCTCATTTGCCGCCACCGCCGCCGTGTTGCTGCTGTCGCTCATTGTCGCCTCAAGTGCATCAAGCATTGCCAGTGCAGGCGTCCGCTCAGCGTCAATCAGCACAGACACCTTCAAGTGGTCCTTGACAACCTCCGCAATGCTGCCGTCATCATCACCAGCACTGCCACCATCGTCGTCATCGTCATCACTGCTTCTTCGGCGCATCCCGTTCGCCGCAGCATCACCAGCGCCGTCGTCGTCCACGGTGTTGGCGCTGTTGCTGTTGCTGATGCTGGCATCGGTCGTGTCGCTGATGGTGACGGCTGGTGTGGGGGCGGATGTGGCGAAAACGCCCTCAATGGTCATTGACGCCATCGCCTCGTCATACTCAACCCCATACACGCGCGCAATCTGCGGTAGGACATCGGTCAAGAACGCGACCAAGTCTGCACGAAGTGGCCCCATGGCCGCATCAATGTCCAGGACGGGCCCGATCACCAAGGACGTGCGCAGGAAGAAGCATGGTTCTGCATCGACACACGCTCGCTGCTGCTCTCCCGGACACGCGGCCCCACCCAGGACTGGGAAGGCGCTCACTTGGAACGCCCGGTGCTCCACCCTGTTTGGGCAGCGCTCGCACACCCACTCCGACCACTGGCCAATGCAGTCCACGCCAACCTCGACCGCAAATGCGCATGTGCCCGTGTTGCCGGCTGCATCTGTCGAGGTGCACGTCACCTCCGTGCGTTGTCCGACGGGGAAGCGGCCGCCAGCGGGTGCACTGCAGGCCACAACCAAGTCGCCAACGAGACCGTCACCGCCGCCGTTGCTGCTGCTGTCAGCGGTGCTGAATGTTGCACCCGTGTTGTCGCGTGCCTCGATGATCCCAATGTCCACTGCAACGGCTGCCTCCGTGAGACGAGAGACGGTCGTCGAGACGAGCGTCGGGCACTCCAGCACAGGCGGGTGCTCATCAATCACCGTCACCGTGTAGCCGCACGTGGCGCGGTTGCCATACACATCCACAGCCGTGCAGTTGACTGTGTGACGCCCCGCGGGGAACGACGCAATGTTGGGCTCGCTGCATGACACGCCAGCCAGGCCCTCGTTGTCGGATGCAGCGGGGTCCAACAAGACCACAGCAGCCGTTTGTGCAAGCGGTGTAGATGGCAGAGCCACTCGCACATCGGAGGGGCACTCAATGTCCGGCGGTGTCGCCTCAAGCACATACACACGTGAGAAGCAGAAGCCAATAAACGACTCTGATGTTGCTGGCAGAGTCGTGGGTGCAGACGCAACATGATCATAGTCATCATCGTCGTCGCCGTCGCTGTTGGTGCTGGTGCCGACAGCAGTGTCGTCGTCATCACTCGCTGGCGCTGCAGTTGTTGGAGCGGCGGAGGAGGTTGCCGGCACAAGGTCAACCACCTTCCCAAAGCAGACCACGTCGTGCTCCCCAACAGGCAGCTCGCTGCTTGCCGGCAGCACGCACTCCGCCACGCTCAGTGCCAGAGGTTCTGATGCCCTCGTCTGCACTGGCGCCTGCACAGAAACGGGCGCTGCTGTGCCGTCTACTGCCACCACTGTCACGGGCCCGTCACAGGCGAGTTCTGGCGCGTCCGCCGTCTGCACAGCAATCAGGAAGGAGCAGGATGCCTCGTTCATGGACGCATCCACGCCACTGCATTGCACCCGTGTCACGTTACCCACACCAAGGGCAGGTGAGCCGTCCACAACCACGCAGGAGATGGTGATGCTCGCCGCTTGCCTGTCGCTGTCACTGTTGTCACCATAATACACTGTGAACAACTCCCGCGTGCCCACAAGCAACAGCGTGAGCGTGTTGTCTTCACCCGTCCGAGACGTTTCACGTCTGCTGCGGGACTTTGCAGCTGCAGACGGTTCGCTCTCCGTTGTTGTCGTTGTTGTCGTTGTCGTTGATGTTGCTGCGGTGCTGGTCGCAGTCTTGGATGCGCTGACATTCATGGTCGCAAGGCCTGGCATGGTCATGCCAGCAGTGGGTGTCGTTGGTATCACGGGTGCTGTTCTGACATCTGTCGTTGTGACAGGCGAGGTTGTGCTGAGGTAAAACGCGCTGTCGCCGTCGACATCACCACCCGGTCCCGCCCTCACGACCACCACCCTGGATTGGGGACAGGTCAGCACCGGTGGCTCCACATCAACGACGGTGACGCGGTATTGTCCAGCGTTGGTGTTGCCAGCCGCGTCCTCCGCCTCGCAGCGCACGTGGTGCACGCCAATGGCAAATGCACCGGAGCTGGCGTTGCAGCTCACGCGCGTCACACCAACGTTGTCCCACGCCACGGGATCAGGCAGCACCACCACGGCGTAGCTTTCCCGGAACTTGGTCTCCACGACCAGGTCCGGTTGAAGAAATGTGATGGACGGGGGCTGCGCATCAACCACCGTGATGGTCGTGTTGCACACCGCCCTGTTTCCAGAAGGGTCGGCTGCCTCGCACCGCCTCGTCGTGTCGCCGAAAGGCAGCAAATCCCCGTGCGCGTGTGTGCACGACTGCGCCACCACCTGGCCCGAGTTGTCGCTGACAGTCGGCGTGGTGGCGTTGAGAACACCGTAACTCTCGTTTCTCGCCGTCGTGATGGTGATGTGGTCCGGGCACTCCCACACGGGCGGTTCCACATCCAACACCGTCACCTTGAAGGAGCAGTAGCCCACCCTGCTGCTGGCGTCCACCGCCATGCAGTATGGAAAGTGCGCGCCAATCTCGAAGCGCCGGCCCGCTGGTGGAAAGCATCGTGTGGGCAGCGTCGCATCGGCGTTGTCCACGGCAGTGGCGGCATCAGCCCAGCGCACCACGGCCACAGACGTGCCAAGCGACGTCTGGGTGACAATGTCGTTGGGGCATGTCACCGTCGGCGCCAGGTCCGATTGAACGGTCACCACAAACGCGCATTCGTCCGTGTTGCCGTACGCGTCCCTTGCGCTGCAGTCCACGTGGTGCACGCTCACGTTCAGGGCGTCGCCAACGTTGTGCGAGCATGTCACAGTGACGGGCTCTCCGCTGTTGTCTGCGGCAGCCACAGTAGTCCAGTTGGCAACAACGGACGTGGCATTGCCTGGGGCCTTGAGCTGCAGCGAGTCGGGGCACGACAGCACCGGCGGCTCCTCGTCAAACACAACAACGTCAAACGTGCACGTCGCCCTGTTGCCAGACACATCCGCAGCACTGCAGGCAACGGCGTACGCCCCCACGCCAAGGTCGGCCGGCGAAGGCACTGTGCAGTTGATGGCCACCGACATACCACTGTTGTCGCTTGCGGTGGGTGCAAACTCAATGGCGGCCGTGCTCAGACCAGCGTCTGTGGACACCGACATCGCAGGCGGACACCCGAGTGCAGGTGGCTCTGTATCCATCACGCTGATGCTGAGCGCACACGAGGCGCTGTTGCCGGCGACATCACGCGCAGAGCAGCGTACGATCGTCTCGCCAATACCAAAGCGCCCTTGCGTTGGCGTGTCACAGCTGACAGAGGCCACGCGGCCAGAGTTGTCGCTCACACTCGGCAGCCCAAAGGTGACAGCGGCGTCCGCAACGCTGACCTCCGTGCTTACCGTCACGTTGTTGCTGCACACAATCACGGGTGGCTCCGCATCGCTCACCGTCACGGTGAAGGAGCAGGACGCGCTGTTGGCAAACTCGTCCTCCACCTCGCACGTCACCGTGTTGCTGCCAATGGGCATGGGCGTGCTGGCGTCCCACGTGCACGCCTTGCGCGCAATGCGTCCGTTGTCGGATGCCGTCAGCAGCGACACCGTGTCCACCACTGCGGTTGGCATGCCGGCGTCCGTGGCCACGCCCATGTTTGCAGGGCATGTGACTGTCGGGTTTGTCTCGTCGCGCACAACAACCTCAAACGTGCACGTCGCCCTGTTGCCGCTCGTGTCCTCCGCCGAGCACTCGACCACGGTGTAGCCGACCAGGAAAGGCTGGTTCGCGGTTGCATTGCACGAGACGTCGAGGCTGCTCGGGTCGTTGTCCACAGCATCAAGGGCCGTTGGGTTGGGCAGGGCAATGGTGTTGACGCTGGTGGCTCCCGGTGGCGCCGTCGTCTGCACATCACCAGGACAGCTGAGGAGCGGCGGCTCTTGGTCCTCCACAGTGATGCTGAAGCTGCAGAACGCCCGATTCCTTCCGTCGTCGGCAACGCACGTGACGCTCGTGGTGCCAATTGCCACGTCCTCGCCCGGTTCGGGCGTGCACGTCACTGGCACGTTGGGAATGTGGTTGTCAATGGCAAGCGGAACAGCATAGGAGAGCGTGTGCTTGTTTGAGAACCGGTCAGTGCCCACCACCATCGCCGCGGGGCACTCTGGAAACACGGGTGGCTGCGCATCCAGTCGAGTCACGTCAAAGCTGCACTGCGCCTGGTTGCCTGCTGCGTCCGTAGCCGTGCACGTGACAGCCGTTGTGCCAATGGGAAACGTCTGCGGCCTAGTGTCGCACGAAACGCTCACGCCGTCGTCCACGTTGTCTGTGGCGTTGGGGCTGCTCCAGCTGATAAACACGTCCGTCGACACCACAGACGCCGGGCACGTGATGGCCGGGTCGGTGACATCGATGCAGTGCGTGCCGTTGCCCGTGAAGCCAAACTTGCAGCGGCAGGTGAACGTGGACGGCACGTTTTCGCAGTCGGCGTACTTGTGGCAGTTGTTCAGGCTCGGCGACGCGCACTCGTCAATGTCATCCGCGCACGCCGGCCCCGTGAAACCAGGGGCGCACTCGCACAGCGGCGGGTCGTACCAGCCGTTGAGGCACGTGCCGCCGTTGAAGCACGCGTTTGTCAGCGCGCACCGGTCCTCGTTGGAAAATGCCTTGCCCGTCCACATGCGCAGGCCACGAAGAGGGTTCACGCGCTGTGACACTGGGGCCCGGAAGGTTCCTCCACACACACCGGATGCGGTGCTGAAGAAACTTATGCTGTCGCTGCCTGCCCACTGCCCGTTGGACACCACAGCGCCCGTGACTGCAACGGGGACAAAGTCCACGTAGAGAACAACGGCGTACGCGTTTGTCTGCTTGAGTAAAGACAGGGCCAAGCTCTGCTGTCCACCCGTAATGTGGAAGTCGTGCAACCGAAACGTTTCCTCTGCGTGCGCGCGTGTGGGCGAATGTGTGTGTGTGTGTGTGAGCAAATGTGTGTGCGTGTGAGTGTGTGTGAGCAAATGTGTGTGTGTGTGAGCAAATGTGTGTGCGTGAGCAATGTGTGTGTGTGTGTGTGTGTGTGTGTGTGTGTGTGTGAGCGAGTTAGTGAAGAACACATTGATTGCGGACGTAAAAGAAGCGCCTTTTCAATGCATGGTTACATGCATGCACGTTGGAATGGAGCAAGCAGTGAGCCTGCCACAGCCCTTGGTTGTGCCTCACGTTGGGTGACGCTGTCGGCGCAGAAGAAGAGCTGGAGGTTGTATGGGGCCGCGTATGCAACCGTAACACCGTTGCTGGCCGTGCCCACCGTGAAGATGAGCTCGCTCTGGCCCACAGGCACCTTGAGAAAGTTGGTCACCACCTCCAACGTGGCTGACTGCTGCCTGAACGCAGTGGGTGTGCTGGTGGCTGCACCAAACGAGCGCAGCGTCCAGTCTGCCTCGCCAATCAGCGCCTTCACCTGATCCCGCGCTGGCGGCGTCGCTTTCACCAGCAGGTAGTTGTTCCTGAACACGGTATAAGTGGTGGTGGTGGTCGTGGTGGTGTGAGAGGGAATTGCAGTAAAGAGACGAAAAGTTCTCGAAGATGGTACAACTCCGCGCGCAAAATGGCAAGGTGCATTCAAAGTGTCGCCCTGCACTTCTCACCGACTCGTGCATAAACGTGAACACACATACACACACACACACACACACACACACACACACATCCACACCCACGCACCCACGCACCCACACACACACACACGTACACACACATCCACACACACGTACACACACATCCACACCCACGCACCCACGCACCCACACACACACACACACATACACACACGCACACACACACACGCACACACACACACGCACACACAAAACCCGCACCTGAAGCTGGGGGCGCTGGCTGCGCCACAGTATGTGCCAATGGTGACCACACCCTGCGAACTGCAGCGATAGTTGGGCACACGGCCGCTTGCATCCTCAAAGCCCCAGAACACCAAGTTCTCGCCCGTGTCCTGTGTTCGCGCAACAGCGCATACGGTTGTGTGATGGTGAGAGACAGATGTAAGGAAAAGGGTGGAACGTGGCACGGTGATGTGAATGGTATGCATGGTATGAAGGACGAACAAGGCGTCGGACAGTTGGAGTGAGGTCAGCGAAGGCTCAGGGTACATATCGCATGCAGTCACAGATACAGCCACGCACGAGCAAATACACGCACTTACGCACACAGACACATAGACCGTGCAACAGAAAACGATACATGTCAGAAACAGTGCAGACGATGCGTTGCACACGCATCAAAGTTGCGCTCATGTGTCGGCTTTACCATGCACGAGTCAGTGGCGGACGCTGACATGATTGCACCTAAAGAACATGCACGAGATATGCAGGTTTGTCATTTGCACATGCAAGCGTGACATCGTGCGGGAATTACCAAGAACATGCAGCTGATTGTTGTGTGCATACAGGCGATGCAGCAACCACTGACATACATACATACATGTACACAGAGTCGCGCGCACACTCCAAACTATACCCACATACGCGCACACACACGCACACACACACTTTCCCACATACACACACGTACACATGCACGCACACGCACACGTTGACTTAGACATGGTGTCTGCGCGTACCGTCCTTGGCGTAGTTGACCCACATGGTGCTGGTGTTGACAAGGGCGGCACCGGTGAGGTCAAACGGGTACAAAGTCGTGGCCGCCTCGCCATCAGCCGTGAACACATCCAACACACCTGCCTGGCACCCGACGTCGCCAACGAGCGCGTCGGGTCGCTGGCGCACGTCGAGGAGACTGCTGGCATTGCGCAGCACCTCTGGGAGGATGGTGGTGAACAGCACCGCGTCCATCATGCTGCTGCCGTCCTTGTCGCTGCCGGCGTTCATAAAAACACCCTGCTCGCGCCCCTCAATCAGATGGCGGCAATCCTGGGGTGATGGTGATCGTGGTGATAGTGGTGGTGATGATAGTGGTGGTGATGGTGGTTGTGGTGAGAGCAGCAGTGTGGGTTGTTGTTGCAGCTGTTGTAGCTGTTGTCGTTATTCTTCGTCTTCATTTCAAGAAGGTGCAGCATGAACAAGCCGCACAATGAACACGTCACAGTGGCTGCAGGTGCCACCTGCTCCCTATTCTCCTGCAAGCAAAACAGCCGTTGGGACTCACATGGGACGCCTGGTACCCGGTGGAAGCAGAGTTGGCCAGGGAGGACAGGTCGTAGGAGCCTGCATCATCACTCGTTACACGACCAAAATCGCTGTCAAGGAACTGCTTTCCTACAGTGTTGTCCCGCAGGAACTTGCCGCACATCGTGTTGCCGCCTCCCCTGGTGTGTGTGCGTGCATGTGCATGTGTGTGCATGTGCATATGTGTGCGTGTGCATGTGAGTGTGTATGTGTGTGTGTGTGTGTGTGTGATTGAGCGGGCACGCTTCATGTGATCGGCCACGCAATCGACAAAGCAACCCGGTGTGGTGCTTCGTCCATTCGCCCCTTATTCCTCTGCAACGCCAACAAAAACACGCGCGCCCCTTCAAAGCGAACACACACGCACACGCACACGCACATGCACGCACGCACACGAACGCACACACACACACGCCCACATACACACACAACAACATACACACACACCAGTAGTCCATGTCACAGTAGAGGGCAATGGGCGATGCTGTTGGGTTTGGGCGAAGCAGCTGCGGTCCTGTCGTCAACGGCGCCTCTGACTCGTAGCACGTGGCGGGAAGAGTGGACAAATCCTCCTCATCGCACCGCATCCCGCCAAAACCAGGCAGACAGGAGCAGTAGGCCAGGCCTGTCGAGTGCTTCGTCAGGATTACGCCGTGCTGGCAGATTGCTGATCATGCGCGCGCAAAGACCGAAGATGGGAACGGCGGCGAGATGTGGGTGGTGGTCGTGGCGGTGGCGGTGGTGGTGGTGGATGAAAGTTGTTCAAGGGGGTGAGGGTGTTAGTTGTTCATGGGGGTGAGGGTGTTCGCCTTGGCATAATGTCACAAGTATGTGGGGTTGTCACCACAGCAACGCAGCACTCGACACGACCACAAACGCACATGCTCACAAGCACACCGCACACGCACAAGCACAAACACCTTCACGCACACATTCACACACATTCACACACACACACACGCACACACACGCACACACACACACACACACACATACACACACACACACACACACACACAAAAGTAAGCAATCGAGCTCGCGAGCGCGTACATGGATCGGTAGTGAGGGCGGGGTCGTAGACCTCCTCCACCCACAAGCTGAAGCCAATGTTCCAGTCCACCGTGCCGCTGGTGAACTCAACGCCCTCGTTGCGCGAGTTGACGTAGCTTCCATCACCATTGCAGTAGTTCTTGACAATCTGCAGCACGCCCGACCGGTCTGTGCCCGCAATATCATTCGCAGCGCCGAGCGCAACAGGCGGCACTGCCTCTCCGTTGACAACAAGAAAGAGGTTGTCGCTGAAATCGCGTCCAAACATGATATCCAGGAACGGCGTGCTGTCGCCGGTGCCTGTGAGCTCCTCCGGCACCTCGTACACAATCGTGATGGAACCGCCGCACTTGTTGAGCACGAGTGTGTGCGGCGCGGCGTAGAACAGCGACAGGCCAACCTTGTGCCCGCCAATCTCAATCAGCACCTCCGGCGAGGGAGGTGAGCCGTCCACGTTGAGGTATTTCGGGTGCAGCTGCACAGACACGTAGAACGTGATGGGAGCAACGTCGGCGTTCTGCTTGCCGTTGAATGACTCGTCGTTGATGCTGGCGTAGTCGCCCGCCTCCAAGTACTGCAGATCGGGTGGGATGCCAAACTGGGCGCGGGGCCGGTCCGTGCTGTACCAGTCTGAACAGGCACCGCGGTGGAGGAGGGGGTTTGGGAGCATTGTGATGCAATGAGCACGGTCAAGAGATGTGTGCGTGTGTGTGCGTGTGTGTGCGTGTGCGTGTGTATGCTGTTATGTTGAGTGTACTCTTGTCTATGTGTGTGTGTGTACTCTTGTTTGCGTGTGTATGCTGTTATGTTGAGTGTACTCTTGTCTATGTGTGTGTGTGTGTGTACCCTTGTGTGTTGGTGTGCTTGCACGTGCCAGTGTGGGCTTTGTGGGGGTGAAACACCAGCACTCCCCCGTGCCTGGTTGAGCGCATGCACCGCTGCAGTGTACCGACCTCCTGTCACGGGCTTGTCAAAGTAGAACCAGTTGGTATAGATGTTGAGGCCAAGGTCCAGGTCCGCCTGACCGTCGGCAAAGTCAACGACAGCACCAGCAGAACCGGTGCAGATGTTGCTGGACATGGGCGCCAGAAACGCGGTTGCGTCGCTATCGCTCCACAGTGGGGTCATGTCGACGACAGCCACGTGCTCCTCGTCGCCTACACGCAGGCGCGCAGTCTGGTTCACCACGCCGTCCGTACGGCGGTCGAGCGAGAACACGACGTCCACGTTCGCACCCGCGTCCAGGTGTGATGCGGTGATGTTGTGTTCGAGGGCAAGTATCACCTGGCCGGCGCTGCACATGGTGGCCCGCACGGTGTTGGTGGCCGTGTACACGAGCGATACGCCCGTCACGCTGCTGCCAACATCCCACAGCAACTGTGTTGTTGTGTAGGATATGGCGGGTTTGAAAGCATCGGGGGATCATTTGATAGTATAGGCATGCATGGCATTTGCATGTAAGCCCAGTGTAGGAAAGATCGAACAAAAGAAGGAATCTTAAGCGGAAGAGCCCAAAGGACAAGGGACAGAGAAGTTGCACACAAGACACAAAGTCAAGCCCAAAACATACAGATATACCCACACCCACACACATACACACATACACACATACACACACAAACACACGGAAACACACACCTGGGTGCCGCCGGTATTGGTGGAAAAAGAGGCGCGCATCCATGCAGACATGGACAAGGTTGCGGCATCGTTTGAGTTGACCACGTCACCTTTCAGGCTTGGATATGTGCCTGCTTGAGTGAGGGTTGAGTGCGGAGTGGCTTCGGAAAAGAAGCGCGGGATATCCACAATCGCTGGAAGAGGAGAAGAGAATCATGTCGAGTGGAAGGGGAAATGCGAGTGTGAGTGTACATCGCGTGTGTCTGTGTTTGTGGGATTGTGTTTGCGACACGGTACACACTTGAACCCAGCCACGGACCAGCACAGGTTGCTGTTCAACTAGAAAGAAGCTCACAAAACTCATGACCACACAGCCACACACACACACACACACACACACACACACACACAGCCACACACAGCCACACACACACACACACACACACACACACACACACACACACACACACACACACACACACACACACACCTGTGGCGGGCGGGGACAACAGCGCCAAAATGGTCACCAGCAGGGCGGTGCTGATGACCAGGGGCGAGCGGCAATGCATCGCCAGTCTTGAACGTGCGACCTTTTGCCCCTGCTGTAGAGTTGTCACGCTGTAGAGGAAGTAGGTATACGCTCAATGTACGCGATTGGAACGACGTTTGTGCTGCTGCTGTTCAATTCTACAGCGCTGCTGTGCTGGGAACAACGTAAACAGATGCAATTCGTTGTACAGGGCAGGAAGATGTGAGAATGTAGGCGCAAATGCAAATGTACGATGTCGTCTGTTGCTGTGATGTTGTGATCCTTGTGTGCAAATGCAACGGATGAATTGATGAACGAATGTGTGTTTCGGGTTACGCTACACTTGGCAAGGACCAGCATCTCTGAGGACGAGCGAGCAAGCAAGCCAGCAAGCCAGCAAGCCAGCAAGCAAGCCAGCGGGTTGGTTGATGACGGTGATGTTGCCACCGTTCACGGCCCACCCACCCCAGGTTTTGGTTGTCGGGTTGTGCGAAAATTTCCAAAACAAAGTGGGTGTTGCCTTAAAGTGTCAGGCTGTACCAGGCGATTCATGTCAAAATCATTATTGCGTTCATTTACCATCGAATCCGTTGGGAAAATAAAAGTCATGGAGGGGGGAGAGTAAGCATTGCGCTGCTTCAATCACTGCTACCAAACACACACACACACACAGACACACACACAGACACACACACACACACACACAGACACACACACAGACAGACACACACACACACACAGACCGTCACACACACAACCAACCATCAACCCAGAACAAGGTCAGGCGTTGATGTGGAAATGCAGCGTCGGATGGCAATGAGGTGGCGGTCGTTGGCCTTGTGCGCTTGCAGCACCTTCTTTGCCCACTGCAACGCATCCTGGCGCACAGCATGCCAGTTGATAACCTCATCTTCATCGCCGCTGCCTTCCTTCTCTGCAGCACTAGCAGCAGCATCACCATCAGTGGCGTCTGTCTCCGCTGTCTCCGCATGTTGTGCGCCCTTGTTCGCAGCCACACCTTCCTTCGCCTCGGCTGCAACGGCACGCTCGTCTCCAACATCAGCCTGCGCATTGTCGTTGTCATCGTAGTCTCGGACGAGGTCAATGAGCTGGGTGCGCAGCTGCAGCGGGGTCGGGTTATTCGTTGTGAGGTATAGCAGCGTCACGCACGCCTGCAGCTGCACGTCTGGGTGCCCGTCAAACCGCTTGGCTGCGGTATGCACAGTCTCAAGACCGCGGTGGGCAAGCACGATCTCGCGCTGCTTGGGGGTGGTGCGCAGGATGGCCGTGAGCATGCGCAGCGCCTGGTAGTTGACGGTGGCGTCCGTCGGGTTGACGCGGAGAAAGCACAGCACGGTGATGACGCCGCCCGTGGCAGCGTACGCCTCCACGAACGGGTCGGCGCACGCAAGCGCATCGAGCAGGCCGCACACGGGCCCCAGCATCTCCGCGTTGCCCATGGCCGCAGCCGTGCATGCGACAATCAAGTCCATGCCTTGCTTGTGGCGCAGGAGGCCCGCCACCACCTTGTGCGGGTCGCCGCTGAGCGCGGTGAGCAGCTGCACGCCACACAGCTGAAGCTGGTCTACGTTGCGAAGTGCACGCAGGGCCGTGACCACAAAGCCGACTACGCCCATGCGCAGCATGTTGTCGCGCTCAAGCAGGCTGCGCTCCGCAATGAGGATGAGCAGGTTGATGGCGGGGATGACGGCCTCCTCCAGCGTCGAGTGGCGCACCAGCACGCCCAGCAGCAGCTTGGAGGCGCCCTTCTCAATCAGCGTCACCACGCTGTCGTCCCGGTTGAGGGACAGGCTCAGCAGCGCCCACGACCCCCGCCGCGCAACTGTCTCGTCCTCCTGCATAGCGAGCATGCATGCAAGCACGGCGGCCTGGGCGTTGAGCTCGGAGAACCGCTGCAGGCACTTGGCGTGACGCAGGGCCATGGACCCAATGGCGCCCAGCACAAACTCAAGCACGTCCGCCTTGTCCGAGTGGAGGGCGAGGGCGCGCACGAGCGCTGCGGGCACGTCGCGCTCGTGCAGAATGTCCAGTGCTGCCTCCGTCTTCACCGTGATGAGCAGCTCCAGGAACTCGCACGCGCGGGACTGCACGTCAAAGGACTCGGGGTGGTTCTTGAGGGCGTCGGCGGTGAGGTCCACCACGCCCAGCTCAAGCACCCGCTGCATTACCGTGGGCTGCCTGCCAACCAGGCAGAGCAGGCTGCAGGCAAATGACTGCAGAATGTCGTGGCCCGGGTGCAGGCACATGAGCGCGGCCATCACGTCCACGGCGCCAGCGGAGGCCAGGAACCTGTGCACCCTCTCCCCGTCCAGTGACATGCCCATGACCAGCAGTGCCATGGTTGCCTGGAAGGCAAGGCTCGCGTGCTGCTTGTGGCGGCGAATGGTCTGCACGAGCACGGGTGTCACGTTGGCGTTGACCAGGTGAGCGCACAGCGGGGTGCCCATGGCAAAGCGGGTGATGACCACGCACGCGCACTCGAGCACAAGCGGGTCCGCCTTGTACTGCTTGAACACGCGCATGACGCTGTCGAGCGCGCCCTTGGACACCACACGCGCGCACATGTCCTCCCCACTCTCACACACGGCACCCAGCGCCAGGCACGCCTCGGCCTGGATGCGGGCGCAGTCTGGGTGGCGCCTCATGGCGTCCATCAGAGCCTCCACGCCGTCGCCGCCCACCACGTAGCGCGCGTTGTCAAAGGACGACGTGATGCTCTTCAGCGCCTGGCAGCCGGCCAGCTGCACGGCCTCGTTGTCGGGGCTTGCTTGCATGCATGCAATGACGGAGAAGGCGGCGCCCTCCGCCCCAACGTCGTGCACGCGCTCGTCGTCGTCCAGGCCAATGCACACGCAGGAGAGGAGGTGGCAAGCACACACGTGCACGGCCGTGTCCGCCTTGTGGTTGCGCTCGAGGGCGTCGACAACGGCTTTGATGGCGCCGCACCGCAGCAGCTCCTCTGCCTCGCTGTTGGCCTTTGCGGCCCGGTCCGCAAGCAGCAGGAACACGCGCTGGCACAGCAGGCTGTCCTTTGGGCGGCTGGACACCAGCGCCACCAGTCGGCTGCTGGGCAGTGCGTACAGCGGCAGCTTGATGGCGGCCGGCAGCCTGCCCTCGTCTGTCAACTGCGACGCAAGCGCGTCCAGCACCACGAGCGCCGTGGGCACAATCTTTGTGTTTGGCATCTTGTCGCTGGCGCGGCCAGTGGTGCCCAGCAGCGCGAGTGGAGACGCACCCGTCATGGACAGCTGCGATATGAGCGAGGGCGACTTGGGGGGTCGCGCAGGCAGCGACGGCTGGGCGGTGGACGTGGCCATTGACGATGATGACGACGACGATGATGATGACGATGGTGGTGATGATGATGATGATGATGATGATGTGGTTGAGGCAGCAGAGGAGGAAGAGGACTTGCCTTTCTTCTGCTTCTTCTGCTGCTTCTTCTTGGATGAGCGCTGCGAAGACGCGCTGTGTTTTGCAGATGCGGCGGCAGCAGCGGCGGCAGACACCGACGTCGGGGTGTAGCTGTTAAGCGTGGTCAGATCCACCATGCAGTCCTCGGCAACACCGCCCGCGCCATCATGGGCACCCATATGTAACGCCGCGCGCGGCAGCCATGTTGGTTCGGCCAGCTTGATACCTCGCAGTGGCAGCAGCAGCCGGCCAATCACCTCGCGGGGAACAGCCTCTGCGGACGCGGGGCTTGGCGGCATCAGTTGGGGAAGCACGAGCGTGGCGTTGGGCATGTGCGGCATGCGGTCTGGGATGACGATGGTGCTTGTGCTTCGCGTTCGGCCGAGCCCCTTGAGCCGCCCCTTCTTGTCGCGGTCCGGCTTGGATGAGTCAATGTAGACGGAGCCCTCGAGCAAGCTGCCGATTGTCGTGCCCGCGGCCTTGACCTTGTCGTGCTGCTGCTGCTGCAGCTCAGGCAGGTTGGCATGCACGTCGCGCTGGTGCAGGGCGTCGCACACGCGCTGCAGAGGCGGGGATAGGCTGTACATGTCGCACAGGGCTGCGGCTATAGCTTTGCGGGACAGCTGCGGCCAGATTGTTTCCGAAAACGGGTAGCGGTCATGCTGGAAGACCTTGATGACAAGGAGGTGCTTGTTTGCTGCGAGGATGTGCTGCATGCGTTGCAGCGTGACGAGGGTGGCTTCGCGGCTGACGGAGCCCACGACAGCGCCGATCAGGATGACGATCTTGGAGTCCCTGATGGCCGCGTCGAGGGCGTCTGCGTCGTGCGTTTCCGGCTGCACCTCCCTCACACACGCCGATATCCACCGCCGGCGCAGCGCCGTCACAAGCGACTGCGTTTCGTCCAAGGCTGTCGTGGCAGTGTGTGTGTGTGTGTATGTGTTGGGGGATGGGGGATGTGTGGGTGCGTTCGTGTGTGAGTTAGAGAGAGTGTGTGTGCGTGCAGTGTGTGTGTGTGTGTATGTGTTGGGGGATGGGGGATGTGTGGGTGCGTTCGTGTGTGAGTTAGAGAGAGTGTGTGTGCGTGAGTGAGTGAGTGAGTGTGTGTGTGTGTGTGTGTGTGTGTGTGGAAGCAGGCATACAGGCGAAATGTGTCCCAAGAGAACTTGTTGTGTGAACGCTGTTTCGTGTTTGCTACGTCCGTATGTGTGCAAGCAAAAAGAAACACACCATCCTTTGGACGCGTCACGTTGTAGAGGATGGTCACGTCCGTGCGAACCATGGTGGTGGTTATGGTCGGACTGCTTGTTGTCGTTGTTGAATGTGTGGATGTGTGCGTGCAGGTTGTGATTTGAACAGCGCGTGTCCGTTGTTGAATGAGTTGGTTGGTTGGTCTGGTTGTCGTCTGGTTGTCGGCCGACAAGACCAAAGCGGTTGGATTCAGCGAACAGAGGGAGAAGACAGAGGGAGAGAGAGAGAGGGAGACAGACAAACAGACAGAACAAAGCCCAGAACAGAGGACAAGGGGGGGGGGGATATGTGATGACACACACCAACGCGAAGACTGAGGAGTGGAGCTGAAGAAAGGCTGCAGCCACACGCGAGCGAGTGAGACCACAAGCCGCGTAGTCGTGAAAATTGGACGAAAATATCCATGAAACGTCGGCAAGCGTCAATCCATGCGCAACAACAAACAAACAACAAGAAGCAGCAGCGATCCAGCAGTGATCCAGTGTGGCAGGCGAGCGAGTGGGAGTTGAGTGCAGTCCACTGTAAAGTTGAGCGTGAGCCATGAAGGTGATTGTGACTGGCGGGTCGAGTGGCGTTGGTGCAGCGCTCACGCGCATACTCGTGAGCAAAGGGCACCACGTATTTATCACAGGTAAGTGGTTAAAGTGTGTGTTCGTGTTTGTGTTTGTGTGTTGGTTTGTTGAAGTGCGTATGTGTTTGTGTGTTTGTGTGTGAGTGTGTTGCTGAAGTGTGTGCGCTTGACGTGCGCCATGTCAAATCACAACATGCGCCATATCACAACATGTGCCATGTCACAACACGCGCTTCCGCGTGCTTTCGTGTAGGGCGCGATGCGGCAGCCATGGAAAAGCTGGCGGCAGAGTGCAATGCCAACAAGGGCGGAGAGGCCGGGAAGCTGCACTACGCACAAGGCGACGTGTCTGACGCTACTGTTGTGAGTGACCACTTCTCACAGGCGCTCTCCCACTTTGGTGGCAGCTGTGATGCCCTCGTTGCCAACGCTGGTGAGAAGTGGCAACATAGCCTTCGTGTGTCAATGGTATGCTTTCGGGCTTTCTTCCCCGTTTCTCTTGGCTTTGCGACCACATGCGCTTCACTTCTCTCCTTTCCTTGCTCTCCCACTTTCTTCCTTTCTCACACGTTTCCTTTCTCACACGCATGACTCGCATTGTCGCTGTGATAGGCTGCAGTGTCAAACGCGGCAAGCTGGAGGACTGCAGCGAAGACGGCTATGACCGCGTCATGAACACAAACGTAAACACACAACCCCTTTGCAGCAGTGCCTGCAGCTGCGTTCTTGCCTTGTGTGTGCGTGTGTGTGTGTGTGTGTGTGTAGTATGTGTGTGTGTGTGTAGTATGTGTGTGTGTGTGTGCGGGTTTTGTGAGATGAAGAGACGTGTTTTGACTTCGTTGTTGTGCACGGTGTGTGCGCGTGTGATGCTGCAGGTGAAAGGTGTGTTCTTGTGGTTGCAACGGGTGGTGCCGCATTTTCGTGAGCGCAACGCGGGTCAGGTTGTGGTCACCAGTTCCGTGTGCGGCGTACGCTTCACTCCAACACACGCCGTCTACACCGCTTCCAAGTTTGCTGTCGAGGTGTGTAAGTGTGTGTTTGTGTTTGAGGGGTGTGTGAGTGTGCGCGTGTGTGAGTGTGCGCGTGAGCGAGTGTGCGTGTGAGCGAGTGTATATATATATATATATATATGTGTGTGTGTGTGTGTGTGTGAGCGAGTGTGTGTGTATGTGTGTGTGTGTGTGTGTGTGTGTGTGTGTG